TTTTTTTGATTGATGATGATTATTTAACACTGGTAATTAATTTATCAAGGAAGTAAATTATTTCTCTTCTAATTTTCTTTTCTGTTAATACTCTTTTATTAGTTATCTAAATCTTCTTGGACGGACTTGATGTTATTTTTTTGAAAAAATCATTTCCCTTTGTTCTTTTTTTTTTTAAAAAAAAAATACTTCTAATTGTACTGTAATTTTTAGATTTCATAGTTAGTTCATACATTCTAATTTTAGTAATAGGAATATTCCTATCTATCATTTAAAGAGAGTAGATGTTTAACCCCACGTTCACCTTGTCTGGTTTTATTCCAGTATGATAATCAATTGTAACTAGATATAGTAATAGTGTTCAGAAAAAATACTTACCAACAATTAGTAGTTTGAATGATAGGACAAGCCATCAATTCTAGTTTCGAGCTTAATACCAAATATTCGTTGACATATAAAAGTTCAAGGAGGTTGAAAAAAAACAAAAATTTTATATAATGAAATAAATCTAGCCGTTAATTTGAACTTTGTTAGCAGCAGGGACATGAAATCAGTTTTAGAAATTTATTGTAAATATACACTCCTTAATATTATTATTAAAATGTTTACGTCACTTGTTCGGAAAAAAAAGTCCATTGTATAATAATAAATTTGAAATAAAATATATTTATATTTACAATAAAATAAAATAACAACCATTATGCAGAATTTAGCACAGAATGGATGGAATGATGCGAGCAACAATAATAATTCAACACAAGTAGTAGATTCAAACAGTTTACATCAAGGTGGTGGTGGTAGTGTTAAACAACTTGATGTTATAGATGATGTAAATACTAGTTGTATTGCTGCTCCAGTTGGATCTGAGAGGACTGTATATAACACTAATAGTATTAGCAATGGTGATAACAACATCAGCAACGGTAATGTTAATGGTAACAATAATATAGCATACACAAATAATTATGATGGCAATTATCAAAGTACATGGTATAACAGCAACAACAACAACAACAACTATTACAATTATAATGGTAATAATAATAACTTACAACTGCAACCTCAATTTCTACCATATGTATCAAAATTACCATCACAATCGTCTCAATTGCCACCATCACAATTACAATCTATACCACAACCACATGGTCAATTGCAACAAACAGTTTGGACGAACTCGCAACAACCTCAGCCTCAATCTCAACCACAAATAATATACTCGCAACAAGTACAACAACCGTCTACGCAAATTCAAACACAACAATATCAACAACAGCATCAACAGCATCAACAGCAAACAAATTGGTCTAATACCCAGCAAATGCAACATCAACAACAACAGCCATTTTTAACACAACCTCCACCACAACCATTATTGGCACCACAACCACAATCAATTGCTTTTCAATATTATCCTCAACAACCACAACAATTCCAACAACCACAACCGCAACAATTCCAACAACCACAGCAATTCCAACAACCACAACATTTTCAACAACCACAACAATTCCAACA